CAGATTTCTACATTCTGATTGGAATCTTCCTATTGAATAAAAATGCACTTTAAAGGAAATATCAAATGGATAGACATTTTCTTAAATCATAGATTTTTTTTTTGCTTGTTCAGTACTCATAAGAATATGTAGCAATACGTTTTTTCTAAAGAGGTTTTACTGAGAGATCAAAGAAGAGAAATCTTGCAGTTTAGTTCTTCTGTCATTGACGTTAACTGGAGCAATGTATTGCAACCTTTTATCTTTCTGCAACTTCATATAGATCTTAGCAGACTTTCTTGCATAGCTCTTTTAACGTTAAAGCTTAGTTTCCCTTGACTCTAAGGGTTTGTTTATGCTCATTTTCTTTGTCTATAGCAATGCTTGCAGTTCAGGCTATTTTAGTTGACACAGAGGGCTGTGAGCTTAGCTGATGGATTCAGCAGCTGCAAATTACAGCATCAGCTGTCTGGAAGGCTGAGTGAAGTGGGCAGTTGGCAGTCAAATGGGCACAAGCCTTATAGCCTAAGAAATTCCATAGTCCATAGTAGAAGATGGCCTGTGAGAAGATGGCTGAACTTTTACCTTACCACCAACTGTGAAAGCATGTAAACAGAAATACCCAGTAGGCATTTGAGCAATGGTTACAAAAGGTTGTTTCAGAAATGGTGCTTTCTAAAATGCCTGCTGTGAAAGTTCTCAACATGAAATTTTATGCTGATAAAATGGGAAATAATTTCTATTATTTGTAGGCTCTTTGTAGGCTCTGCAGCTGACATGGAGCTGCCATCAGATAAACCATGTAGTCTTAAGTAATAATAATGATAATAATAATGACATCTGACAATATATTGTGTGTTTTGTTTTGGTTTCTGTCACTGCACTGCCTAATACTACAGAGAGGTAGGAGAGAGGAGGTCAGAAATGCCGTGGTAGGTGGTACCAGGTGCCAAGGGAGCAGGTGTGGGGTCATGGTCGAATGAGGTCATGACTCTGTTCAGATAAGGCTCGAGAAGATGACTTGATGTAAGACGGGGAGGCATCAAAGTGTATTTTGCTATGCAAAATATTGTTACTATTTAAAATATTATAGCAGAATATTCTAACTGCAAAACTCTGTATACTAGGTGCTTAAGGCAGAGACTTTTTTTAAAAATTGTTTGTTGCTGCTTTGGCTATCATCTTTTGCTAGGGTTTCCTTGCCATAGTTGGAATTATTTTAAAGTTTTGTCTTCCCCCTGCAGTTTTTGTAAATTATGGTAAAAATATTTGGAAGATGGAGTTCTTGTACTAAAAAAAAATCTTACCATCATTATTTCCACTGTCCAAAAGTACCATTTTTAGAGACAGGACTTCAATAAACTCTGGAAATAGTCAGCTTGCCTCTTGCAGTTTTAGCAGGACAGTTGTTGACCTTGAATTTCCTCAGAAGGGAATGACATATTTCTGCCTTTAAAAAAAAATATAAAATCTTAAATTCAAATCTGTACTAGATGTAGTTCTTTGTTTCGTTGATTTATATTCAAATATAGATATCAAGGCTGTAGTAAGAATAAGAAAGTGGTGTAGCCAGCTTTGGATTCAGTGTGGTGGTATTTACAATCAAGATCCTGTTTTGTGCCAGGGAATCCTAAAGACAGAACACAAGTGATACAGCTTAAACAGGCAGCAGCTTTATTGATGTCGTGCTGCTGAGGACTAAGTAACGTTAACTGATATAGAGAAAACCATAGTTTCTTCCTAATCATTGCTCCTTGGTAGAGGGCTGTTTTTAGCTTTTACCTGTCTATTCCTGTGTGTAATATGGGATACAGAAACATGAGTTATATGACTTATCTCAAAAATTACCCAGAAGAGTGATATATGCTCAGGTGCAGATGGCTAAAGGTCTGCAAGTGTGTGGTAAACTCAGCAGACCCCAAGTTTCTGCGGACTTGCGGTGTGCGTGTAGGTGGGCAGCCCAGCGCGTGTGCCATGGGACAGTGTCACCTGGACGTGGGGCACTTGTGCATGCACAGCAGCCGTTTGTTGAGGACGTCTGAACACCGAGCAACTGGAGCTAATAATAGGAGAACTAAATCCCCTTAAATCTATGCCTGGCCCTGTTGCAGATTAAATCAGACTTCCTGAGCAGTTCGATCAGATTTTCACCTAATGTGAAAAGAGAGTGGGGGAAAAAAAAAACCCAAAGCACTTCATGTCAACTGACACGTAAACAAAGGAAATTTTCCATCATTTTGTCTCACAAAGGTAAAGACTGCAGTGACAGAAATCTAATGCTATGCAGTCCTAGGGCTGGAGGAGAGTGAGCTGTTTATACAGTCCCAAAAAGGAGGGAGATCAGAATTTACATAGCAAGAAAGGGTATGTAGGGACGTGGTTACATGATCTCTTTCCTGGCTAAGTATCCTCCTGGTTTTTGGTCACACATCCTTTCTAAAATGTAACTCCTTTAAAGAGCTGGTACTTCATTTCTCTCTAAGAGACAGTATGTAAGAGTAGTCTTATATTTGAAGACTCTCTCTGCTTTACAGGGAGCGTCAGATAGGCTCCTTTCAGAGTATGTGACCTTTACTTGCATATAGACTAAGTCGTCCGTAAGTTCTCTCCATGTTGCTACAGCTGTCAGGAGTGGTTAACTATCTTGTTAGTACATAAAGGATTTTGCCACTGCTGTGTCTAAAGCAATTGAAAGACTTTCTTTGTGCATGTGGAAAATGAGCAACTGATAACAAAAATGTAAGTATTAACAGATACTCACTGTTTTCACTTAAATACATGCTTCTCCCAAAACTTCAGTGATTTTGGGATTTCCTTTTTGGGACAGTTTTATGTATTACTGGGGAAAGTTTCTCTACTTCAGAAGCTGCATGTGAGATGGGTAGCTAGTTCAAGAGCAGCTCTTGAAAAAAAATGACTTTTTTTTTTTTCATTACAGATGCAGAAATTCACACTATAATCTAGATTCATTAGGTGATACTTTCAATACATTATGTGGTGCTTGTCAGGAGCTTTTTGCTCCTTGATCATAATCTCTACATACAGCTTGCAGTTTTACAAACTGTCTGACAATTCCTTGGGGAGTTGAATTTGGAATGCAACTTAGGTGCATGATAGTTAGAAAATAATGAAAACCGATAGTGTAAATTGAAACATAGTGAAGTTCATCCACATGAGTTTAAATACAGCTGTGCTAAAGACTTGCCTGTAGGCTGAGAAATGGGTAAATGAATGATAGCTTTCTCCAAAGCTCAGAAAAGGACTTACTGAGAGGCTGAGCTTTAATCAGGGCGTGTTTCTGTAGAATTCGAGCGCGGTGGTTGGCCTGCCTGGTGGTGAGCGAGTACCGCGCAGCACGGGCAGGCCCCGCGGCACGGGCAGGCCCTGCAGGCCCCACGCTGACAAGGAGGTGCTGCTGCTGTGGTGGTGACAGCACCTGCAAGGGGTTCACAAGGGACCTCTGTCTCAAGGCAGCCCTGCGACTCTGCTTCTTGAAACCCCAAGGTTTTTTGTGCTCATCTGTCCCTTCTGAGGCTTTCATGGCTCCTGCAGGGGCCTCCATTTAGCCTTCACTGCTTCATTAAAACAAGTTACTGCTGACAGCACTCAAGCATAACAGTTGCTCAAGGGCTAATATCGTGCTGGCTGCTGTACTACGTTTAATTTTTTTTTTAATATTCAAATTTCATTTTGGTTAAATTAAATTTGGCTTAATTTGTAAATGCTCCTGCCAACCACATATTGAATATTTTGGTTTTACCAAATTGAATTTCAAACTTAAAATGTCAAACCTGAACTGAGGAAAAAAAATACTATATTGATAACTTAAACATTTGGAAAGATTCAGCTTTAGTAGGTGTAGTAGATGTCCTGTTATTTTACTGTTGCTATTCTGCTGTACAAAAACATAAAGAGAATCAAAAGAGACATAAGGTTTCATGATAGTCATTTGGATAATCAAATTTTAAAAGAATCAGAATGAAGCTCATCTCATTTTTGGGTATTATGTAATTATTACCATTTGCTTAAAGAAATTATAGCAACTTAAAGATTGAAAACTTTTTTTTTTAAAAAAAAAACTTTTTTCTAAGGGAATAAGTGTTGTAACTAAAGTACAGTAGTGATCTGCTTTTAAGTTTACGCTACAGATGAAGGAAAGTATACTCTGGGCTTTGCAGTAGTGTGTGCTCAAGTGTTCCCGTGTTCTTTCACAAATATGATGAAGTCTACATTGCACTGTATGCACAACAGGTTGAAATTCTAGAGCATGAACTGTTAGAATTGGAGATTATCATTCCATGACAGCTTACCCTGTCTTTAGAAGCTGGTAACTGTTCCAAGGCGCTCTCCCTTTCTCTCTTTCTCCACCCATCATCTTACATTTGTTGTTGGCTCCCCAGACCGACTAAGCAGAAGATGACAAACCTCTCATCACAGCAGCCAGAAATGGATCTCAGAAATGCCTGCATTGAGTCTACCCCAAACATATGCCCTATTTGGCTATAGAAACTAGATTAAATAATTTTGTACGAAAGAATTTTGTTGATCGTGGTACAGATTTGATTCATTTAAGTGGACCAAAAAAAAAAAAAGACTGGTTGCAGTGATCTTAACTCTTTGTTTCTTACTGTTACTGTATTCTAGGATGTCACTTGACAGTGTTAATTTTCTATTTCTGATGTATGTGATCCTGTTGTGCCACCCTTCCTCGCTGTAAGCTATCTCTGCACTCACTGAACGCTCCTGCCAAACAGGACAGCTGCTGCTTCAGTTGTTGTAGCATTGCCATAAATAAAAAAAAAGTAGAGAGAACCCTCAATGTATTAATTATACTATCTCCCCTCTCTTAAAAGCTATTCTGCATTTAATAAAAGTAAAAGACAAGTAGAGCTGGAGTCCATGGAAGGACTGTGCCTGTAGCTAAATAAAAAGCTATTCTGCATTTAATAAAAGACAAGTAGAGCTGATCAATGGAAGGACTGTGCCTGTAGCTAAATACCTACTTTCTTTTTTCATTACAGGATATTTGTGAAGATATATCTGATCATGTTGAACAAATTCATGCTCTTCTAGAGACTGAGTTTTCCCTGAAGCTTCTGTCTTACTCTGTCAATGTGATCGTCGATATCCACACCGTGCAACTGCTGTGGCACCAGCTGCGTGTCTCTGTTCTGGTTCTAAGAGAGCGAATTCTCCAGGGACTGCAAGACGCCAATGGAAACTACACCAGGCAGACCGATATTCTGCAAGCGTTTTCTGAGGAGACAAAGGAGGTATAGTAGCTACATTCAGCAATTTTAAGAACTTTGTTTGCATTTGAAGCAGCTCATCCCCAATGAAATGCTAGAATTATGGTTTTAATGATGACTTACTCAGTATCTGCGTATTTGATGATAATTTCATAAGAAACTGTCATGTGTCCTCAATTGATGTCTATCCACATTGAAGCAAATTAAAGGAAGTATCAGTCCACAAGTGTCTCAGGTGTCAGAGGTACGTTTGGACCAAAATCCTGAGTCTGATCACCCAGAAATGTAAGGTTCATGTCCACTTCAAAACTTATTTTTTGTTTGCAAAGAATTCTTTAGCTTAGGCATTTCTGGATTTGCATTTCTGGTTGGACATACACAAAATGTAAGCTTACATAATATTGTCCACAATTTCCCAAACTGGATTAATTTTGCTTTAAAACAGAGTACATGAGCTTACTTTTTTTTTTTTTTTTT